AAGGACAGAGAGGAAGGCTGAGGCCATATGAGGCTAATATAGTTGTGAATCTACGGGATCGTGATCTGTTACAGCAAAGGAATACCCAGAGTAACGTTTCTGCAGTGTCATAAATGGGCCATAAATCAACTCATCCTTCTGGGAAGGATATTATAAGGTACTATGAAAAAGAGTCACCAACCATTCAGGCTGTTCAAAACACAGAAGAACAACTAGCAAACTCTCAGAGTTGCCAATGTCCCTATCTTTAAAATGGTTAAGTAAGAAACCTATGTGAGTTAAACAATGGCTTTTAACAATAGAGAGACTGCAGGCCTTAGAACAGCAGATATAGGAGCAACTAGATGCTCACCATATTGAAGAATCAACCAGCCCTATGAATTCTCTTCTATTTCTTGTTAAAAAATCTGGAAGTCTGAGTTATTGTGGTCATTGTTGGACTCCTTGGTTAGTGATTTTCCTTCTATTACTTTCTGTAAGGCTGGATTTGTGGCTGCGGGACAGTGGAGCTGATCTATTGGGAGCTCACCAAGGCCAGCTGGACTGTGACTGAAAAAGCATGGGATAAAACTGGACTCTCTGAGCATGGCCAACAATGAGGGCTGATGAGAACCCAAGGACAATGGCACGGGGTTTTGAACCTACGTAATGTGCTGGCTCTGTGGGAGCCTAGCCAGTTTGGATGTTCACCTTCCTAGAAATGCACGGAGGGGGGAGGACCTAGGACTTACCACAGGACAGGGAAATCTGACTGCTCTTTGGGCTGGAGAGGGAGGGGGAGAGGAGTGGGGGGAGGGGGAGAAGGGTGGGAGGAGGGGGAGGGAAATGGGAGGCTGGGAGGAGGAGGAAATTTGTTTTTTTTTTCTCTTTTCTCAATAAAAAATAAAGTTAAAAAAATCTGGAAAATATAGAATGGTGACAGATCTAAGATCTGTTAATAAGGTGATTCGACCAATGTGCCTTCTACAATTTGGAATTTCTTTGCCTTCCCTGTTGCCTAAAGTATGGCCTCTTATAGTTATTGATTTAAAATATTGTTTCTTTACTATACACTTGCTAGGAAAAGACAGAATGATTTGCCTTCACAGTGCCTACCTATAATTCTAAGCCTACTAAGAGATACCAATGGAGGATTCTCCCACAGGGAATGTTAAATAGCCTCACCCTGTGACAATATTGTGTAAGTCAGCCATTGGAAATAATAACTAAGCAATTTCCTGAATCCATAGTTTACTATCACATGGACAACATTTTGCTATCTGATTCAAATATAGATACTTTGCAAAGAATGTTTGAAGAAGTAAAGAAAGTTTTGCCTAAATGGGGATTACAAATTCCTCCTGAAAAAATACAAAGAGGAGATTCTATCAATTTTCTAGGTTATAAAATAGGTTTACAGAAAATTAAAACACCAAAAACACAAATTAGGACAGAGCAATTGTAGACTCTTAATGACTTCCAAATAGTGCTAGGAGACATTTCAATCTGTGGCCTACTTCTGGGTTAAAACCTGATAAAAATAATTCATCTAAACAAAACCTTAGATAGTGAAAAAGACTTAAATAGTTTCAGGGAATTATCATCTTAAGGCAAGAAAGAATTGACTTTGATTTAAGGGAAATTACAGGAAGCACATATAGATAATGCGGATCTGAATCTTAACATTTTTCTGGGTGTATCACCCCCCAAATATTCCCCTATAGGAATTTTAATGTGGAGGGAAGATATTATCTTATAATGGATCTTTTTACCACATAAACCAAGTAAAAAGTAAAAACCTTATGTAGAAAATGTCTCTTAATTAGATACAAAAGGCTAATTAAGACTCATCAATTAGCAAGAATAGATCCAGAAGAAATTGTACTACCTTTTACTACTATTGAAATTTAAAAATTATGAGAAGAAAAAAGGAACTGTGCCAAAGAGCTTGTAGTAATTTTTTGGGAGAGATTAACAACTACCCCAAAAGTGAGAGAATTCAACTTATAAAGAGAACTAATTGGATCCTTCCTCACATTGTATGGGACAGAGCAAAAACCGGAGTTCTTACTTCCTATACTGATGCAAATATATCAGGAAAGGCAGGTTAGAAATCAAAAAATTTGAGTAAGGTGGAGCAAAGTTCTTATGACTCCATCCAAAAGTCAGATTTACATGCTATTCTCATAGTACAAAGGGATTTTAAAGAATCTGTCAACATAGTTAACTATTTGTAATATGTAGAAAGTATTGTTTTACATATTACAATATTGAATTTATACAAGATGATACAGATATAACTTCATTATTCATTCAGGTTCAAGATATAATCAGAAACAAGCTTCATCATATATATCACACATCTAGTCCCTTAATGGTTTGCCAGGTTCTCTAGCATAAGGTAATGCAGAAATTGATCAATTATTGATTGGAAATGTGCCAAAGGCATTGGAAGTTCATAAAAAATTATGTCAATAGCAAAGGTTCAAAACAGGACTTTTCTATTACATGACAAGGAGATTATAAAGAGATATCTTATTTGCTTTTTTTTAATATAAGCAAAGACCACAACCTGCAAGAAGTAACCCAAAGAATACTCAAAGGATGAAATATGCTAGATGGATGTGTTCCACTTTGTAGAATATGGAAATATATAAAACTTTTTATCAAGTTATTAATGGTCAATTAGAGTACTAACTAATTCTAGAAACATGCTTCATCTAGTCTTCTGTACATGATTTTGGTTTGAGTATCAGGTAACTAGGGATTATATTTTTGGACTCAGGATGTACATAACAAAATATGGTCCTTTAAACTATTTGAGATCTGCTGCATATGACATTTAAAATGTTTAAATTTTCTGCATAGATCTAAGACCATGCCAAGCAGATACCTTTGGAGTCTCCAAAAGGAGGATAGGTCCCACAATGATGATTCCACCAGGACTATGATAACACCACTAAGCTGAAAACACCACCTAAAGATCAGCTTTGGACTACAAACTGCTCAGAATAATTTCAAGTTAGATAGCTGAGATGATCCAGCATAACAGACTGCTATAGCCAGCACTTGAAACAAGCCCTGTACTTTCTCATTATACAGAGACTGAATAACAAATGATAGAGCTATCTTTCCCAGGACTTGACAATCCAAATTTTCCTTTTCAGGAGACCCTAAAGATGCCATTGTCACCAGACAACAGAAGTAAACTTAAGAACATGATGCACACACGGGGTAGGGGTAGGTGGTTTCTTAGTCTTTCAATGGGTTATAGATATTTGTCATCATTTAGTGTGGTTGATTACAAGTTATTATTGGTAATGGTCAGGAAAAAAGTTGAACTAAGGAGATTAGATTCAGAGTTCTTGCTTTGAAAAGAAAAAAAATGGGATATAAATATAAAAGGATAAGGATAGATTATTGAATCTACTTTTAAAGCAAAAAGAAACTAATAGTCATAAATAGTTTACATTGATATAGGTTATTGGATATTGATACAATTTTAATATTTTCTGTTAGAACATACTATACATATGCTTCTAATCTTGTTCATAGTATTGTACCTATACAAGTTATTTAACAATGTAATGCAAATTTCTAGTTCTTGGAAGTTATTATTACAAATTATTTAGGATAATAAAGAAATCTTGGGTAGTAGTTAGTTGTCTATTAAAATCAAACTTGTAGTCATATCGGGTATGTTTCAAGGTCAAACAGATATATTTCAGATAGACAAGTCATCTTCAAACATTTTAGAGATTTACAGAATATGGCATTTAAGACGTTTTAATAACATAGGTTCTTTTTTTTTTGTGACAATGAATCATTTCTGCTCCTGACAGCACCATTCACTTCAGAGATGATGATGGGAATTGAAGAAACTCCATATGGAGTTTACTTTCTTTATCATAAAAGTTAGTCACTCGACAAGAAAGTGTCCTTGCCTGGACTGATGACAGAATGCTGTCCCAATTGGAGAAGTAGGAAACAAAGACAAAACTGCTAAACTTTGCAAAGACAAGATAAGACAGTCCCTTAGAACATCCTGTTTCACAGATAAGTTTGTCATATTTTCTGGACCTGTAGGCCAAAGATGGATGCCCCAACAATACAGAGGAACATTTGATGACTATTCAGGTAGCCAGCTATTTCTGTTATTTCTCAAATATTTTGGAAACCACTTACTTGTACTTCCTGCTTACTCTGTTAATATTATTTCCTTCTCTGGATTCTGAACAAGTTCAACATATAAATAGATATAGTTATAGATTTCCTTGTTAACAGATTCAGAAAAGAATTCCACTAAGAGGCGTAAAGTATATACGGTTGAGAGACATTAAAAGATTATTTTGATAATGCAAATTAGGCTAGAAAGTGAATTAGGTTTAACACTTTGGACTAAACAAAATAGGATAGATAAAGAATGTTTTCTCTGAATTTATCAATTGTTAAAGGGACTAGTCAACCCCAAGAACCAACACCCACCCTGATATTTAAATCTTGAACTTGGAGAAACTACAGATGTAGATATTGTTGTGGACATCAGAAACACAAGGAGAGAGCACCCCACATGTGTGCTGTGTGGTGTGGTTTTGTTTTGCCAACAAAACAAGATAGGATCATCAAGTAAGAAGGACTCTCAATTGAGAAAAATTCCTCCATTGGCTTGTAGTCAAGTTTGTGGGGGCATTTTCTTGATTAATGATTGTCACGTGAGAGCCCAGCCCACCACGGGGAATGTCACTCCAGTATTGGTGGTTATCAGATATATAAGAAGCAGGCAGAGGAAGCCAGTAAGTAGCATTCCTCCATGACCTCTGCTTCAGTTCCTGCCTCAGGTTCCTATCCTGATGTCCCTTCATGGTGGACTATACACTGTAAAATAAACCAAACCTTTTCTTCCTCAAATTGCTCTTGGCCATGGGGTTTCATCACAGCAACAGGAAGGAAACTAGAGCTCATGGGAGGAAACAGCAGTGTTAATAGCATCAATGAGAACAGACCATCAGATGAGGAGGTACCTGAGGGTGACCAGGTCAGGCTTTCTTGAGCAGGTCCTAAGGAACAAAAATTAGATGTTTATTTCAGGAGTTGAAGTGAGTTAGTCTCTTTTGACTTTAAAATGCAAGAGATAAAGTGCTCTGGAGCTGACAAGCTCTCCATGATCCCTGAGATCAGACTTGATCCATGAGAATAGGTTTTGAGGGTCAGCTCTGGCTTAGTAAAGTCCTGCCTGGGCCACTCTAGCACTAGATGGAGACTTGCATTCATATCAATACATAAAGGATGCCTGCGTGTGCCCCCAGAACTTCCTGGCCCACTGGCCTTACCTGAGTTTCTAGCTGACTATGGACCTCATTTTCTTTCACAAAATGGCCTCTCTGTACATATCTGATGGCTCGTCCCCGTTGTCCTTTTCATGAGGACTCAGTAGCAGCCTGTCTCCATTTCCTCCCATTTTGAATTCCTTCCTGTATTTTCTCTCTCTATTCTCTTCACTTTTTTCATTTTTTTTCCACCAGATTATCAGTACATGGTCAAGAATACAGACTCTGCCTCCTGAGTGCCTGGATTGTTGCTTTTCATTTGACCCTATGAACACGCCCCATACAGTCTCCCTCAAGTTTAGCTTCTTCACCTATAAACTGGGCATCTACATGATACCAATCCTTGATACCAGCTGGGATTGACAGTAATCAAATGTAGATGCAACCAAATCAAGAAATTAGCAACATGGTTCCTTCTGCCATTGTCTGTTATTCTTTCTGCTCTCATTTTCTTCCCTTTTCCTTTCTCTGTCTCAAAGAATCCATGTGCCCTTCCCCATGCCTCAACCACTTTCTTGCTATGTATCTTCTTTTATCTATATATCTTCTGGAATATTTTTGCTCTCAAAAAACATTTCTCACATTGATTCTGTTTCTTCTAACATCAAGTGTGAGACTGTGACACACTGAGAAATGGTAGTTTTGGTCTTCAGCCCCTGTTCCTGGCCAGAGCTCCTCAAACCCCAATTGAGTTCCAAGTGATTAAGGCAAAAAGAGAGTCAATCTACCCTTGTGCATAGCCATCCTTCTTCAGTAACACCACAGTGCACATTAAAGATGTAAAGTTTGGAAAGCCCTTAGGAATGGAGGCTGTTTGCCAGGGGAACAACATATCATGACAGCATTGGAGTGCTGGCCTCCAAGGTGAGAAGATCTAGAAGTTGACTTGATTACATGGCTAATCATACCATCCATCATAGCTGTATAATGAAAATTTTATTAAAAATCATAAAAGTCTCTGTTCAGAGAGATTTGGGTTGACAAACTCCATAGTGAAGGAAGGTTGGTGTGCCCAGGGATAACAAGAGAGTGTTGTGTTCTCTCTCCCTTATTCCTTGGGTTGTCCCTCTCCCATGTAGTTATTGTTTGTGTGCATATGTGTGTGGAGAACAGAGGATGACTTTGGCTATCATTTCTCAGGTGACATCAACCTCTTTTTGTAGAGATGGAGTCTCTCACTGAACTAGACCTCAACAATTTTCATAATCAGTGATCTCAAGGAAGCTGCCTGTCTCTGCCTCCTTGGTACTAGGATTATAGCACCTGCTCCTGTGTCTTAAACTGTTTTTTCTTTACACGAGTTGAGGGGATCAAACTCAAGTCCTGTGCTTGTATGCACTTTGACAACAGAGTCATCTCCCCAATTCCCCTCACCATAGTTATTTTTGAGCTATAACTTTTCTAATCAATTGTAAGCTATAGATTCATTGAGTTTCATGAGCTAACAAGTTCTGTAGCCTGAGACACCATGGCAACCCCTGATTTATGTTCAGTTGACCAGAAGCATGGGTCATAACCCAGAATTTGTAACCAGCATCTGTAGTAGACTGCTGTCTTGTGGCCCTGAACCCTTTATCTGAATTTAATTACATCATAAGACACCTTGCTGGTGTCTCGAGAGTTGGTTGGTGTGGGAAACCTCACTCATTACACATCTGGTGTCAGAGACCAGTGCATGTAAGGGCAGGACAAAACAGGACATCACTCTTACAGAGCATTTCCTCTTTTATGTCACCATGGACCACACTGCTTCACCTTTCACAGTTCCATATTGGTCAACTCCTTCAGAGACTTTTCTAAATCACAATTATTTCTGAGTAAGTCAGTCTCTTAAAATCTGGCTACTGTCATTGGGTTCAGGTTCCTTCATCATGGGTAGCAGGCTGACTGTTTGTTGTCATGGTTACTCTGGAAGGATCCTACATCCTCCTAGAGGCTGGTGAGTTTGGATATCAAGCACCGCCTCCTTCCAAGATTCGTGTATTAGGGGTCTGTCCCTCAGAATGGCACTAGTAGGTGTTGGTGGTACCTTTAATAGGCAGAGCTGAGCTGAAGGAACTTAGATCACCGGAGGTGTAACCTTGAAGGGCACAGGCACATCCTCTCTTCCCTTGCTTCCAGGTCACTAAGCCCTTGCTTTGATGTTATGCCCCATCTTAAGAAATGAGGTCAAACCATTTGAGCTGAAGTCACTAACATCATGAACCCAAATAAATCGACTTCCTAGGTATCCATTTTGTTTTTGAGTGAGTTTTGCTATGTACAATTGGCTGGTCTCAAGCTCACAATCTTCCTGCTGCAGAGTTTAGAGTATCTAGCTTCTCCTGGGTAATATGTCGTAGTGCATGAAGGTAACACCAGACTTATACCCACTCCCGTCACTGCCTTCTCTGTTTTTCCCCCAGTCACACTCTGCTAAGGATCTCCTTTATTTCCTATTTTCTGCAGCAATAAGAAACTCTCTCCAAGTGTAATTACCTTGTTCAAGATTTAGCTGCAAGTTTGGGTCCCGTCTATCATTTTCTTCAAAATACAATTCGTCCTGTGGTAAGACTGAAGTGGGAGGGAGAGGAAAGAAGAGGAGGGGCCATTAGAGATCTTTAGCAGGGACAAAAGGCAACATTTCTGCATTACACATTTAGGAGTTTCAAGTCTTCTGATTAATTTCAATGGATTCCACATGACAAAGTTCACCCATCATGTCCTGGGAGGGAGAAGACTTCACAAGGGAGACTTTATGCTTCCCATACAGAAAGGAGACACTCAAGGTGAGGAATAAAAAAGTAGAAGACACACTTGTGCTGTGTTCCTATTCCTGTGTTCAGAGAGCAGGGAAGATATATTTCAAAATCGAAAAAAATAGAATCTAAAGATAGCTTCTAGGCTGTCACAATTGTAAGAAGAAATGGGATCTTTCCTGGATGGAAGGTGTAGGATCTGGCACATACCAAAGGGAACTTGATAATGGGCAGGCTTGAAAGACGGACAAGATGGGGTTGAAGAACTGGCTCATACTTGTTGATATCTATGGGCATGTGGTGCTAAGCTAAGATGGATCCTGCAACCCAGAGTAGAGCTGTCACTCAAGGTGGGGATAGTGAACCTGATGGCCTCCTATGTACAATATTATAAGGGCTCCACTGAAGAGACACAGCAGGGCTACCCTACAGGGACTGAGTTCTTCCTGTCCTCTTCTAAATAGCCTGATGTTCATGGGGCTCTCATTGTCTTAGCCTAAATACCCAGCCTACCAGACCTCAGGAGGGTTTCAACTGTAGCCATTAGATATAAGAGTTGTGATGATACATAACATATAAGTTTTTAAACTGCTACAACTCAGATTGTGGTATACTGTATATGAAACATGGTAGATGTTTAATATATGGTTATTGGGGGGAAATAAGGACTGTGATCTCTGAGGGGATTCTAAGCCCAATTACCATTTTTAAATCTGTTAAAAATGTGTTCCAAATCAGGGTATGCCTGCATATTTTCCGCACAGAACAATACCCATAGAACCTGCAGGTCAAGTCTCTTCTCCAGTACTTCCAAGGCTTTGTAGACCACTTGTTGTACAGGGACCAGGCTTGTACAGGAATCTTTAAAATCCTTAAAAAATTTAAAGGAGAAGGTGTAAGTGCAGGCTTCCATGTCACAGAAAAGCTCTAGGAAGCAATAATAGTTAGTGTACCTCAATCCACAACAGACATATCTTCTAATGCAAAGTTTTATATTTGCATGGCTACTTCATGAAACAAGTAAGTATTTTCTCACTCAAAATACTCACTAGTGACTTCCACCCTCATTTCTATGACATGTAAGAAGGCCACTTTTTTTTTTTTTAAGAAAGGGAAACTTGGGTTAAGGGTTAAAAGTGGGGCTGGTGAGATGGTTCATTGCGTTATAGGCACTTGTCACCAATCCTGATGGTCTGAGTTCAGTCACTGGGATTCAGATGGTGAGAGGGGAGAACCAACTAGCCACAGGCTGGCCTCTGACTTCCACATGTGCACAGGCTCATACACATGTGCACACTCAATAGAAACATACACATGCTTATAAGTAAATAAGTAGGATATGCAATAATATTTTTTAGAGTAGAGGTGCTGGAAAGATGATTCATGGTTGAGAATACTTGCTGCTCTTGCAGAAAACCCTCTTTCAGTTCCCAGCACCCACATGGCAATGCAAGAACACCTGTAACTCCAGTTCCTAGGGATTTGCTTCTGATTTCTGTAAAATATGGGCACCAGGCGCACAAGTTTTGTGCACACATAGAGTCAGGAACACTTGTACACATAAAAATAAAAACAGAAGCATTCTTTTTTTTTTAAAGGTTAACTAACAGGGTAGGTGCCCAATGCTGTTCTGTTACCCAGACACCTCCTGTAGGAAATCAGGTGTACATTACCTCTGACTCTGAACTCTGCTGGAGGGAGGCATAATTATAAGGCAAAACCCAAAACAAAACAAAACAAAACTGGAGGGATTGGAGAGAGGGCCCAGTTGTTAAGCACACTTGCTGCTCTTGCTGAGTTCCCAGATTGGATTGCTAGCACCCTGATGATGTTCACAACCATCTGTAACTCCAGTCACAGAAAATCTGAGCCCTCTCTTTTGACTTCCAGAGGCACCAGGTGCATAGACATACACGTAGACAAAACACTCATACATATAAAATAATAAAAAGTTTTTAAAAATTTGTCCAAATAAAAATCTCTCTAGTTTGTAATATTCTCAGATCTAGGTTTTTAAAATAGATATTAATTAAAATAAAATGTCCTCATTGAAATTTCACTAAGTCAATTCAATAAAATAATTCAACAGTAAATTTAAATCACTTTTAATTTTTTGTTTATTATTTTAGTTTAGTTGAATTTGATTTGCATGAATTCTATGGTTTAAAATGCATGAGACATTGCACATCTATAGAGAATCCCTGTTCTGCTCTGGCTTTTCTTCAGCAATACTCATCCAGAAGGGACCATGGAACACCTTCTCCTCAGATAGAAGCAGCACCATCTCATGAGACCCCTGCTTCTCCTCCCTTTAATACATGGAGAGAAGACTTCTCGAAATATGTACATGATACATATCACTCCCAGAATATATAGGTTTTAAACCTGACTCCAGAATTCTAATTTATAATTGATGAATTTATTATTGTAACTAATATCTCTACAAAGTGCTATGAAAACTTTGTCAATAATTCTTCTCAAAAATTAGGTTCGGGTGCTGGAGAGTTGGCTTGTGGTTAAGAAGATGTGTTACTCTAATAGAGGGCCCAGGGTGATTCCCAGCACCCACATCAGATGACCGAAAACAGCATGTATCTCCTGTTTCAGGGAATCTAGAGCTCTTTTCTGGACTCTGTGGGCATCACCACATATGTGAACACACACACAAACATGCACATGAGCGTGCAAAAGCACAAAAACATACATTCACATGAGAAATAAACTCTTAATTTTAAAGTTAAGTCCAACTTTAAAAACCTGCCAATCATCCAGTTTGGCTTCAAGATATCAAAGTGTAACTTAATCTGGAGCGTGTTTCAAGGTTAGAATATAACAAACCCCACTTACTATGTACATTTTTTCAGTGATGAGACCTCTGTCACGAAGTACCTCAAGAAAAGGAAATGGGTTCTTTATTGCATTAGAAATCATCACTTTATTTTGTTTGAAGCACAGGAATATAGGTCCGAAGGAATATAGGTTCGTCTCTGTGTCCTCATCATCTGTGGACATCCTGGAGGGGGAAATACCATGGGGAAATGATAATCAGTTCCATCAGTCTAAATGCTTGTGAAATGTAAGGTTTTATTCATGAAAGAAAGACTGTAAAGGACTAACACACATAAGATAGGTGGTCTTGAGTTATCCCCAATAAATATAATGAGTCAAGTCCAATAATTTGGCAAGTTCAGGGTTCAAGTGAGAGAGACCCTGCCTTGCCACTCCCAGAATCAACTTCTGACTTCCATACATGTGTGCACACACATACATGTGCATCTGCACACGTAAGCTGTCATGCATGTGAATGTTTTTGTATGCATGAATGCATACTGCATATTAACACACAGATGAAAAATAAACTGAAATATAATGTTAAGTATGATTAAAAAATTCCACTACTAGGTGTTCTTATACAGGTGAAAAGGAATATTCTCACTAATTTATATGCAAATATTTCCGGTAGCATTATTGATAGCTAAAAGTTAGGAACATTTGAAATGGCCATTAGTTCGAGGGTAGAAAAATAAAACTGGACAATTAATACAATGAAATACTACTCCTCAATAAAAGGAACAAAATGCTAATATATTCTATGAGTGAATGAATCTTAAAAAATCTTTCTCTTAATAAAGGTAGCCAAGACAGAAGGAAACATAGTGTATAAATCCATATCTATAAAATGCTCAGAAATGCAATTTATAGAGACAGATGTATGTGTGGTTGCGTGGACTAAGGGGACCAAGAACGGACTGTCCACAGCTGTGGAGGATTCTTCTGAGGATGGTAAATCGAAAGTTCCAAACTTGGGCTGTGCTGCTGGTTGCATGGCTCTGTAAAATGTCACTGGATTGTATATTAAAATGGGTAAATTTTATAGCAAGTAAATTAAATTCAAAAAGCTGCCAACATATGAAAGTGTAAATTTAAAAAGATGAGCAGATCAATACAGGTGACAGGCTGAATATTTTTTCTTCCTAGTACAGGTAAAGGAGCATATTTTGAATAACAAACACACATTGTGTTCTAACTTGGTGGGTTTTAAAATTTTGTTTGTTTTGTATTTTTTGTCAACTAGACAAAGCTAACGTTATTTGAAAAGAGGAACCTTAATTTAAAAAAGGAAGTCTTACCCCTGTATTGCCTGTAAATAAGTCTCTGGGAAATTTTCTTGATTGGCGATTGATGTGGAAGGGCCCAGTTCACTGGGGGCATTGCCACCTGGACAGTTGGACCTGGTATATTTAAGAAAGCAAACTGATCAAGCCAGAAAGCAGTGTTACTCCATAGTTTCTGCTTCAATTTCTGCCTCCAGGTTCCTGCCCTGACTTCCTTTGTTGAGGACTGTGATATGGATGTATAAGACAAAAATCCCTTTCCTCCCCAAGTTGGTGTTGGTGTTTATTACCGCAGTAGAAACTCTAACTTCAACACTGTATGACTGGATGTTTCCATAGTCTAAACAAGGATGTCAGGAGGTGACAGACAGCACTTAGGTTAAAAAGACATCTTGTTGATGTCAGGGTGTCTATAAGTTTAATCCCCAGCACAGGACAACCAGCCAGCAACTAACTATCTCCCACACACAATAACTGGAGGATGAGGTCCTTACCCATGGACCACAAACCCACATCTGAAGGACAAGAGAAGCAGTCTCACTTTGACTGCTTTGCCCCTTGCTAAGGCTGGAACAGGCCTTACTAAGGTGAAGACCCTGGACCTAAGGTTTAATCAGAACCAGATGAGAACATACAGCTCCCCAGAACTCTCAGGTGCCTCTGGGAGGCCTCCATCTTTTTGCCCAATGAAGAACACCGAATGACTCAGCAGCAGACCACTAAGAGACAAAGAACAGGGCAGTGATGACCAGCCCTTCCTAGACAGCATTCCAGTCTGGTCACAGAGTCAGCCTACTACCCAGAAGAATTTGCTGATTCTGCATCACAATAGATTATAGAGTTGGCTCCACCCATCCAAGGAGCCAAATAGCAAGTCACCCCATCTGGGTCAGAGCCTAGCCTATGGCTTCACCTAGGCCAACAGCCAAGCTGGCAGCCTGCCTAACTTTAGAGTATATACCCTCTAGTACTGACAGACCAAGGATCCCACACACAATGGGTAACCAAACTGACACTTTCCTACCTGCAGAGTTTAGCTTTTTGTAGTCATGGCTAAGGAACCTAAACTGCTGACTAGTCTGGTCTCTGAGCCGAGGTCATACAATTCATGGAGAGGAAGCCAACCTTTCCACAAATGTCAGGCATGTCACATCACCCCACGTTGATGAAGCAAACAGAATGCTTCAATATTTGCAAATAGGTGAATCGGCTGCATCACATTAATAGAAGGGGAAATGTAAATCCTGTCTCACCAACAGGGGCAGAAAAGGTATTGCACAAACTCAGCATGCTTCCGTGATAAAAACAGACCTCTCAAAATTTAGCCTAGAAGAACTGTACTTTAGTATAATAATGATCACATAGGAGAAAGCCAGAATACTATTCTCAAGAACAACAAGTTTAGAGCTTTTCCCTTTGAGGTCAGGGACAGTGAAAGGGTTATATATAATTCCATCGATTATAGACACAGATTAGTACTAATTAATAAATTTAGTAAAGTTACAGTTCAAAAGTCAACATACAAAATAATACATCTGGAAAAGAAATGAGAATTCCTTTTTCATTAAAGAGAAAAGTGTGTATATGTGAGAGAGACAGAGAGAGAGATGGAGAAACTGAGAACTACTGACTTGTGAAATAATTCTTTTGTGCACTGCCAAGATTTGTCACTTGGATTGGTTTAAAAAATGTTAAGTGTCGCCGGGTGGTGGTGGCGCACGCCTTTAATCCCAGCACTCGGGAGGCAGAGGCAGGCGGATCTCTGTGAGTTCGAGACCAGCCTAGTCTACAAGAGCTAGTTCCAGGACAGCCTCCAAAACCACAGAGAAACCCTGTCTCAAAAAACCAAAAAAAAAAAAAAAAATGTTAAGTGTCTTGTAATCAGGCAGGAATTATAGGGGAGGGGGACAATCAACCTAAGAGAATTATGGGAAGAAGAAAGGTTGAGTTACAAGAGATGCCAGTGAACCACAGAGATATCAGGATATATAGAAAATGAACTAACAAGCCATGAGTCACATGGCAAAGCATAGGTAAGAAATATGAGTCAATTTAAATGTAACAATTAGGTAGTAATAAGCCTGAGACATTGGCCAAGAAGTTGTAATTAATATTAACTCTCTAAGTAATTATTTGAGTACAGTTGTGGGATAAAAATTTCTGCCATCAAATGGTGCCCACATGGTACATAGATCCTCATAAGACCTAAAAAGGCTTGACCAAAAAAGGTTCTAAACGCACAAAAATGGAACCAGATGCAGCTTTCTAGTCACATAATCTCTGGCCAGCTGCAATGCAGAGACGTGTCATTCAATAGCTGCCCAAGAGACAGAGACAGCTGCCAGCTGCCAGCTGCCGTGAACTAAGTGGCAGTGGGTTCTCGCAGTTTCTCACATGGGTCCCAGTGCAGAGTGGCTTCTCCCAGCCTCAAATTAACAAAATCAGAAATGAAAAGAGGGACATAACAACAGACACAGAAGAAATACAGAGGATCATCAGGTCATAGTCTGAAAACCTGTACTACACAAAATTGGAAAACTTAAAGGAAATGGATATCCTTTTTTTTTTTTTTTTTTTTTTGGTTTTTCGAGACAGGGTTTCTCTGTAGCTTTGGAGCCTGTCCTGGAACTCCCTTTGTAGACCAGGCTGGCCTCGAACTCACAGAGATCCTCCTGCCTCTGCCTCCCAAGTGCTGGGATTAAAGGTGTGTGCCACCACCGCCCGGCTGGAAATGGATATCTTCCTGGATAAATATAACTTACCAAAATTAAATCAAAACCAAGTTAAACAGACCTATAACTGCTGAAGAAATAGAAACAGTCATCAAAATCTCGCAACCAAAAAAAAAAAAAAAAGAAAAAGAAAAAGAAAAAGAAAAGAAAGAAAAAAAAAGACCAGGACCAGACCAGAATTCTACAAGACTTTAAAAGAAAAAAAAAAAACTAATACCAATACTCCTCAAATTATTGCACACAATAGAAACAGAAGGAACAATGACAAATTCTTTTTATGAGGCTACAATTACCCTGATAACCAAACCACAGAAAAAGAACTACAGACCAGTCTCACTCATGAACATTGATTCAAAAGTACTAGATAAAAATACTGGCAAATAGAATCTAAGAACACATCAGAACCATCACCAACCATGATCAACTTGGTTTCATCCCAGAGATGCAGGGATGGTTCAACATACAAAAATCTGTCAACATAATCTACCATATAACCAAACTGAAAAATAAAAAACATGATCGTCTCATTAGATGCCAAAAAAGCTTTTGATAAAATACAACATCCCTTCATGATAAAGGTTTTGGAGAGAGCAGGGATACAAGGAACATACCTAAACATAATAAAGGCAATATACAGCAAGCCAACAGCCAAAATCGAACTAAATGGAAAGAAACTCCCTGCGATTCCACTGAAATCAGAAACAAGGTTGTTCACGCTCTCTATCTCTTTTCAATATAATTCTTGAGATCCTAGCTAGAGCAAAAAGACACCAAAAGGAGATCAGTGGGAAACTAATGGGAAAAGAAGTCAAACTCTCACTGCTGATGACATGATAGTTTACATAAGTGATCCCAAAAATTCTACCAAGGAACTTCTACGACTCATAAACACTTTCAGTAATGTAGCAGGATACAGATTAACTCAAAAAAAATCAGTAACCCTCCTGTACACAGATGATAAAAAGCCTGGGGAAAAAATCAGAGAAACAATACCCTCCACAATAGTTACAAATAACATAAAATATCTCAGAGTAACACTAACCAAACAAGTGGAATACTTGTATGACAAGAACTTTAATCTTTGAAGAAAAAAATTGAAAAAGACACCAGAAAGTAAAAAGATCTCTCATGCTCTTGGGTAGGCAGAATTAACAGTAAAAATGCCAATCTTACCAAAAGCAATCTACAGATTCAATGCAATGCCATCAAAATCCCAGCAAAATTCTTTGCAGACCTTGAAAGGACCATACTCAAGTTCATATGGAAAAGCAAAAACAAACAAACAAACAAACAAAAAACACCCAGGATAGCCAAAACAATCCTGTACAATAAATAACAGAACTTCTGGAGGCATCGCAATCCCTGACTTCAAACTCCACACCTGTAAGAACTGATGATAACTTATGCTGGAGAGGTTGTGGGAAGAAGGGAACACTTCTGCAAGTGTATGGCAGGACTGGAGTCCCAAAGAGAGTCAATTACAAGGATAAACAGCAGCAGCTTTAGAATTGCCAGTGCCAGGTGATCATCACAGAAGCAGCAGCTACCGTGAAATGGGGCAGGCTGAGATCTAAAATGCAGGTTATGTATAGGTGTCGAGGGTGGGGCCAAAGAGATGATCTAGGCTTCTCAAAAAAAGGAGGAACTCTATTTTTGATATTGCAGGAAGGTATTTGAAAGATTTAAAAATTTTTAAGAACAGTTTTTACAATACTTAAATTTGTAAGACTATGGGACATTTGTGCTTATAAATTGTTTTATATTGTTAATACTTGGACTTAAAGGCTAGAAATGAGGGTCACAGTCATAATCACCAAATGCTTGCCAGAAACTGAGATGTTCATTTCCTGTGATGCAGCAAGACAATGACCTAAGCAGTCTGACAAAGGGCTTGGAGCAGTTCCTCAGCTCACTGAGTCTAAACCTTTGGGGTTAAGAAAGCAAAACAAAACAAAACAAAACAAAACAAAACAAAAAGTTTTTACAGGGTTGCCTAGGACTACCTGCCTCTCAGATGTTTGCATTTAGATTCCTAACAATGACAAACTGCAGTTAAGAATTAGTAACAGGAAACATTTTGTGATGGGAGGGTCACCACAACATGGGGGAACTATATTATAAAGTCAAAATATTGTGAGAGCTCAGAACCCTCGGCTTAGAAACTGTCTCTCCTTACACAAGGTCTATTCAGGCTTAAAAATGTATGTCTAGACTCCTTGTCTTTGCTAAATTTGCTAAGCTTAAGTCAAATATCTTAATAAATAGAGTCATAGAAAAATTTTATGTTTTACTAAAAAGAACTTCAATTCAAAAATCATTATTTTTAAAATAACCTGACAGATATGTGAAGTCTTAGTCTTACGAAAGCTGCTAACCTACTGTAGGATATTAAGAAATACAAGTTAATAGCTATCCTTATAAATGATCAACTTCGTTAATTTTAGCCATGTTAAGTACTATCAATATAATTAACTACAGGAATAAACCTTACTTAGTCCCCCCAAAAGTTAAGCTTAAAAGAAGTAACTAGAAACAAAGTTACCTATTTATATATAATACCAGGGCAGCCCTCAACTACATCAGAGGTCTGCAGAATATAGCATTTAAAATGTTGATTAAAAAACTTATTATATCAGAAAGAGACTCCCAGATACTGACAATGATCCAAGGTCTTCAAAGAAGATTATGGGGTACCATGATGCCTCCACCTGAATTTCACAGTGCTGACCACTGGCCAAATTGACCAATACAACACCGGTTACCAGAACCTGGCCCAGACTGTGGAAAGCAGTATCACACTGAAGACTAGATTGTACTCCTTTTGCCAAGATAAAATAAGGTCATTTTTACCCATCTTCCTCCAGAGAAAAGACTCTCACCTTATGGGTTTGGTGAAGACTGCTGCTCTGATACTTCTGCCTCCATTGCTATGGAGACCTGGGTATGGCTAACTAGGTATGCATTCAGAAGCTGAATAGATTCAGAAGCTGCTGAATCTATTGGGGATTCAGCACTGTTGGGGACCAAGAAGCCCCCCGACCTAAAGTCAATCTTCCTCATCCTCTCTGCAAAAACAGCTCGCTGCAAAAACAGCTGTGATACAGTTCTCAGAACGACCTGACCGCAAGGTGTTCCAAGACATGGCCTAACCACTAGATATTTCTAGAGATATATTGCTTCCTCCCTGGCCTAGGACGCAATAGTTTCCGTTCTCCTCTAACCCTACCCCTCCCTATCAAAACCACTCTATAAGAATAAACCCCTGCCTGCAATAAACAGAACCTTGACGCATCTCAGACCGACTCTGTCGATTCTCTATACACGCTTGGTTCCCTTTCTCTCTCCCCCCATTCCTACCCAGGTGATCTCGAACTCGAGGCCCACGAATGACGTGGCCTGCTGGACGGGTCACTACACTTAGGTATAATTTATCTTTTTGAATCTCTGATTGTATTGATGGTTGGGCAGCTAGTACCTTGTCAGTTTAGCAACAGGCAAACAGGTTCTCCCTCAAGGATATAGCCTACTTGTTAGTTCATTTTATATATAAAAGTCAAGCCTTGGTTTGGGTCTTAAAAGAGAGATTATAAAACTTATAAGCTTTAAGACTCTAAGAAAATGATTTGAGATGTAAGCAGAAGTTATAAAAATATAAATAGATAATTTAAGTTATAAAATGTTTCAGATTTCCCCCCTTCTATGGTATAAAAGTTCAAAGTTAAACATTTAATAAAAGTCTAATAAGCTGGTAGAGCAGTGACTACTTACTGCTCAGTCACAAGTTCAAGATTTAGGATTTATTTTGGTTGTCATCTAAAGATAAACTTGAAAGTGCTTCTCATCAGGCCAAAGACATCTCTGTTCAATCTATACCTGGTTCTCAGGAAAAGAGAAAAAATGTACACGGTTCTGACCCAAATCTGTAGTGTTTCTAGGACTCAAATGTATGAGTCTATACTGCTATTTTACAAATACCCATTACCTGCTTTTTCTACAATATGGATTTCAGTGTAGATTGATGATACTAATATGTAAAAAGAATTTATGTCCATTTGTAAAATAAAAATTGATATAGGCTTCAGAAAAAGCCTGGATTCCCTTCTCACAGGTCAAAGGGATTCAAGATAAGTACAGCCTAAGTTTTCCTCATCACTATTCCTGAGGATGATATTTTTCATTCCCATGCTCTTGAGACTCTTCCCCTTCCCACTTACTAAGACTATGAACCTGAAAGTTTCAAATGTACTATTTTCCTTTTTGTTCATAAATTTTAACATCTATTCTAGTTCAAACTTGTCTCAAGAGGTTTCTGCTTGGATGGCAGACACACCCAAGCATCAGTTGCTGACTACAACCCACTCAAAATGACTGCAAATCCAGGACTTGCTGAAAGATGATATGGACCAGTCCAGCCTATGTGAATGTTCCCTGTCTCTTCAGTTCAGTCAGTGAATCAGATGCTTCTGATAAGTGTCCATTACTTGTATTCCCTCCCTACCTTAGACTAGCTTTTCAGCCTTCTTGGGCCCTGAACACAATGCCCAAATGTCAGCTTAAAGTAGTTACAGAAAAGAACATGTCTTCCTCTACTCCCCGCCCAAAATAAGTTGAAATGCTGAGACAAGGGGACTCCCTGGCATGGGGGACAAATGACTACCTATAATGCCCTTTGACATACAAGGAAAATTGGTCCAGAGTTGTCAGTTAATGAACGTATTAGCTACTGTAGTTCTACAATAAGATAAGACACTGGTTCTTTATGCAGAACCACAGAACGAAAGAGGACATCAGGATGATAATTTGTTTGTGCTCAAAGATCAGAGCTACAGGGCCTAGTAGCAGAGGATGGTCACTGCCCTAGAAAAATCTGTTAGCTAATGGTTCTTAGGTCCTAATACCATTCTCTTAAACCCCTGGGAAAGCATGACCCATGATCGGGTCCTGTCGTTGGTACTTATAAAGGGGGAATGTAGGGTTAGGTCATAGCAGGATCAGCAGAGACCACCCAGGCACACCTAGGAATGGATCATTCAAGAGGAAAGTACTTAACATTCCAAAGGAAATGCCTAATATTCCAATCATTGTAGATAGGATCATCTGATATCCCTTCGCCCAGCACACCCATCCCTTTTCACTAGGACCCTAGACAAAGATCAGCCAATCAGGGGTCCTGAACCATAAAGGCCATCACCCTAACCTGTTCTATGATAAAAACCCCACAACAACTGAGCTCAAGGCTCTCAGATCGTGTCAATGAGCTGGGCACAGAGAGTCCAAGTTCAAACTTGAATAAAAGCTCTTTGCTTTTACATATGGAATTAGTTTTCTTGTTGGTTTTGGGGAGACTTCATGATCTGGGCATAACAAGACATAATCTTCTTGCTTTTTCCAATGTTGGTTAGCTGTAACTAATTTAAAACCATACATCCAGATTTACCTCATTACTTAAACAACATTTGTCTAATTCAGATATATCTAACAGATAACTATGCCCTGATTTTCAATGCTTCAGGGATGTAAGAATATGCTAATTTAATAAAATAGTTTCTCATAATAGAGACATGCCAGCTCCTAGCAGCATACTCTACCTCCTCAAGAATTGGAAAGAACTTGCACCTGGAAGCTTCCATTGAATGTGGCAAAGCCTGCCACAAAGAAGGAGCTGCTTTGCACTTCAAGCTAGTGCCAAGATCCTGCCCAGACTGGACAATAGTCCACTATGGGATCAGTTGTCCCCTGTTGCCACATTAAGGTGGGTCAATCTTCCTAAATTCCTACCCCCTGGGAAAGTCTGTCAGATCTTCTGGATATCACAGCTGAAGACATTTATATATGTTTTCAAGCATACTCCAGGCCCTAGGTTCAACGGCAGTACTGGAAATGTATCACTTCCTGTGCAGTAGCAAACACCCTGACAGGCACTGTTTCTGAGGAGCACATCTGATCACCACTGCGGAGCAGACAGAGGTCGACCATTTCCTTGTCAGAGGAGTCACCCTCCTAGGACAGGACGCTGAAGTGAAAATAAAAACGTGCAGCTTGCCAAGGCCGCTGCTAGCCAGGGCCTTTCTTGCCTTTTTTTCTTCCTTGGATAAAAATCTAAGAGTTTGGTGAGAGTTCAGACCAGGAGTGAGCCTGGGACAGCTTCCTAGGTGACAAGTCCTGCCAGACAGGTAGGAGACCAGGACAGAGGGGACCCAGCAGCTGACCCTGAGACTCTGCTATTTGAATTTCTTCCCTGAGGTGACTTAGTGAAAGCAGAGAGAGGCAGAGGGACTGAGAACACTCAGATTTCATGAGATAACAGCAGAATCATGTCACAGAGGTCGCCAGGAGTCCCTCACAGCTGTGACCAGAGTCTCCTGACAGCTGACAGTGCTGCACACAAGAACGTTATGACTGTGCGCATTATACCAATCTGGCCTTGAAAGTGGATAACTTACTCAGTTTTAAAAACTCTAGGTGTTCTCTCTCTGTCTCTCTGTATCTCTCTGTGTCTCTATCTATCATTGTCACTCTTTGACACACTCTTTCTCTCTCTCTCTCTCTCTCTCTCTCTCTCTCTCTTTCCTACCTCTCTCTTTCTCTTCTCTCTAACTACAATGCAGAACTTCTTCACGTCCAGGAGTGTGGACTGATTGAAGCTGTAACCACTTAATCAAGACATGAAATAATCAATGTTGTCAGAGGGCAAAACTATAGAAGAAGAAAGACACACCTGTTGATGAAGTTACTACCTTCCATCTCCCTACTCGTGCCAGGGACCTCGGAGGGTGAGCTCTGATCCATTGATCTCCTCACAGGCTTTCAGACAGTGTGTTGTGGCCCACAGCTGAATGCTGAAGTCAACCTTATATCTAAACTCTCCAGGGAGGGCTCCGCCCTGATGGGGAAATGACACAAAAGCGGGGAAAGAGAAAGCAAAATACTTCTTCTTTTTTATTTTATTTTATTTTTTTATTAAAAATTTCTGCCTCCTCCCTGCCTCCCTTCTGACTCTCCCTCCCCCCACTCCTCTCTCCCCACCTCCTCCCTCTCCAGTCCAAAGAGCAGTTAGGGTTCCCTGCCCTCTGGGCAGTCCATGGTCCTCCCCCCTCCATCCAGGTCTAGAAAGGTGAGCATCCAAACTGGCTAGGCTCCCACAAAGCCAGTACATGCAGTAGTATCAAAACCCAGTGCCATTGTCCTTGGCTTCTCAGCAGCCCTCATTGTCCACCATATTCAGAGAGTCCGGTTTTATCCCATGCTTTTTTCAGTCCCAGTCCAGCTGGCCTTGGTGAGCTCCCAATAGATCAACCCCACCGTCTCAGTGGGTGGGTGCTCCCCTCGCGGTCTTGCTTCCTTGCTCATGTTCTCCCTCCTTCTGTTCCTCTTTTGGACTTTGGGAGCTAAGTCCATTGCTCCAATGTGGGTCTCTGTCTCTATCTCCATCCATTGCCAGATGAAGGTTCTATGGTGATATGCAAGATATTCATTAGTATGGCTATAGGATTGGGCCATTTCAGGCTCTCTCTCCTCAGCTACCCAAGGACCTAGTTGGGAACATCTCTCTGGACGCCTGGGAACCCCTCTAGAGTCAAGCCTCTTGACAACCCTAAAATGGCTCCCTTAATTAAGATATATACTTCCCTGGTTTCATATCCATCCTTCCCTTATCCCAACCATCCCATTTCCCCAAGCTCTCCCCATCCTCCCCTTCTCACTTGTCTCTTCCCATCTCCCCTTTCCTCCAATCCACCGCACTCCCCAGTCCCCAATTTTTGCCCAGCAGTCTTGTCTACTTCCAATATCCAGAAGGATAACTACATGTTTTTCTTTGGGTTCACCTTCTTATTTAGCTTCTCTAGGATCACGAATGTCCTAGGGCTAAAAACCAATTATGAGTGAGTACATCCCATGTTCATCTTTTTGGGTATGGGTTACCTCACTCAGGATAGTGTTTTCTATTTCCATCCATTTGCATGCAAAATTCAAGAAGTCATTGTTTTTTTACCGCTGAGTAATTCTCTAATATGTATATATTCTACACTTTCTTCATCCATTCTTCCATGGAAGGGCATTTAGGTTGTTTCCAGGTTCTGGCTATTACAAATAATGCTGCTATGAACATATTTGAACAAATACTTTTGTAGTATGATTGGGCATTTCTTGGGTATAATCCTAAGAGTGGTATTGCTGGGTCCAGGGGTAGGTTGATCCCAAATTTCCTGAGAAACTGCCACACTGCTTTCCATAGTGGTTTAACAAATTTGCATTCCCACCAGCAATGAATGAGCGTACCCCTTTCTCCACAGCCTCTCCAGCAAAGGCTATCATTGGTGTTTTTGATTTTAGCTATTCTGGAGACAGGTGTAAGATGGTATCTCAAAGTTGTTTTGATTTGCATTTCCCTGATCGCTAAGGAGATTGAGCATGACCTTAAGTGTCTTTTGGCCATTTGAACTTCTTCTGTTGAGAATACTCTGTTCAGTTCAGTGCCCCAGTTTTTAATTGGGTTAATTAGCATTTCAAAGTCTAGTTTTTTGAGTTCTTATATATTTTGGAGATCAGACCTTTGTCAGTTGCGGGGTTGGTGAAGATCTTCTCCCAGTCAGTGGGTTGCCTTTTTGTTTTAGTGACATTGTCCTTTGCTTTACAGAAGCTTCTCAGTTTCAGGAGGTCCCATTTATTCAATGTTGCCATTAATGTCTGTGCTGCTGGGGTTATACGTAGGAAGTGGTCTCCTGTGCCCATATGCTGTAGAGTAGTTCCCACTTTCTCTTCTATCAGGTTCAGTGTGTTCAGACTGATATTGAGGTATTTAATCCATTTGGACTTGAGTTTTGTACATGGTGATAGATATGGATCTATTTTCATTCTTCTACAGGTTGACAACCAGTTCTGCCAGCACCATTTGTTTAAGATGCTCTCTTTCTTCCATTGTATACTTTTAGCTCCTTTATCAAAAATCAGGTTCATAGGTTTGTGGGTTAAAATCTGGGTCTTTTACTCGATTCCATTGATCTATTTCTCTGTTTTTATGCCAATACGAAGCTGTTTTCTTGGGGAAATATAAAAATTGTTCCTAGGCTGTCACCGTACACCATTATCTGAGTGACATTTGGTGAATTCAGACTATACATGACAAATGACCTCAACTGGTAAGGACCAAACTTCCAGTTCTTGATTCTTGCAGGCAAGGTCAAAAGATACTGCTGTTGTCACTATAACATGGCCTGGAAGCCAACCACGGATACCCAAGGCCCTTCATTCAGCATGGTTTCACACTTCATGACGTAAGCATCATTTAGGAGGTTCATGGATCATGAATGAGGGAACCATAGGCCAGAGATAAAATGTCTAGGGAACCTAGGGGATTTCCATTCTCTTTGGAGAAAACTGTGTGGACTCAAGGGGACCCTAATATAGAAGTTGGTAAAGTGACCCTAAGGGAGACTTGGGTGAATTCAGTAACAGGTTCAGGGTACTTTCTGATGATCTCACATGAAACAATTCTTCCAACCTAATTTCTTCTCTTCAAATGTCACCATATCTATTTCTGAAACTGTTAAATCCTCTGAAGTGTTTTAAATCATCATTCAGTGAGAACTATGTGATTTGATTATACTTCATGTCACCCCATAAGACTTCAGGGTGACATAGGGTCTCACCTATCTTGACCTCTAGTGAAATAAGTTCTCCCTGGTGCTCACAAAGCAAATGTAGCTCTTTGGAAAGAAAGATGGGCTTCTCCAGGAGGTGTGGATGAGCCAGATCCACAGTATCTCCCTGACAATTTGAGCCAAGTATTCCTGCATTGGCCAAAAACTCATTTATGCTCATGGATTGTCAAATATTATGGTTATGTTATTACTCGAAGCTTCTACTGGCAGTCCCAAGTGTTTCCCCAGCTCTTGAAAAGGATTTTTGTTTCTCTCCAATGGAAGTAGTATCCAGGTCTAAGGAGACTACTACTTGTAATAACCACTAGGAAGTGGTCTAGATCTAGCTAGAACCTACTCTGCCCAGAAAGTGGCTACTGCCCTCTGATAGTGACGAGGGCTCAGTGGTTAGGAACAATAACTGCTCTTCCAGAGAACTGGGTTCAAAACACAGGAACACAAGCAGAGAGCCTTGAGTGCTACTAGAACTTTTTTTTGTTTTGGTTTTGGTTTTTATCATAGCAGAGGTTGGGGTGAGGGATTTTTAAGGTTCAGGACTCCTGATGGGCTGACATTTGTTTTGGGTCCTGGTTTAGTGACATCAGGGGATCCTATCTGCAATGGTTGGAACGTTAGGCATTTTCTTTGGACCATTAGGTACTTTCCCCTTGGGTGCTGGTGCCTGCTGGTCTCTATTGAGTCTGTCATGGCTGGGCCCCACAGGTCTTTAGTTTTCAGCTGTGGTCCTAAGATAAAATCATAAGGCAAAGCCAAGTTAACATTGTAAACAATTTAGTGTTTTTAAATCAATAACAAGGGACTATTCTTATGCCATAAAATCTGACTTTTGTGTAATGTACATCCCTGTACACAAATGCATGGATGTGCAGCTTTAATCCCTCATCAAACTGGCCTTGTTTTAATTCTATCTTTTATAAACCTTGGTTTTAGGACAGGACAGGAATGATCACACAGAAATCAATCCATATCCAAAATAATTTGGTGCCCTAATGTCTCCTGGTAGACCCATCTCCACATGGTCACCTCCATCTAAGATGGCAGTGAAGTCATGTGACCTCTCTCTTCAACCTTAGCCATGATGGTGACTGCCCATGTGCTGTAAGATGATGGCAAACCACAAGGTGTTTTCCAGAGCAGTTTTAATCTGGAATTACCAGTTTGTTTGTTTGCTTGGTGTTGGTTTTTGAAACTGCTTTGGAGCCTGTCCTGGAATTAGCTCTTTCCAGACTGGCCCCGAATGGCATGTGCCATGCCCACCCAGCTGGAGTTTCCAGTTTTAAGATTACTTTTGTTACCGATTTTAAATCATACTCATAGCCGGGCGGTGGTGGCACATGCCTTTAATCCCAGCACTTGGGAGGCAGAGGCAGGCGGATCTTTGTGAGTTTGAGACCAGCCTGGTCTACAAGAGCTAGTTCCAGGACAGGCTCCAAAACCACAGAGAAACCCTGTCTCGAAAAAAAAAAAAAGACCCAGTAAAACATACTAATTTTTTTAAGAATCGTTTTTAAAATATTTAAATTTGTAAGGCTGTGTGACATAATTTGTGCTTATAAAATGTTTCATATGGTTAATATTTGGACCTAAAAAGCAAAAAATTAGGGTCATAGCCAAGATAAAGGGAAATAATTCTCTAATCTCGAATGTGCTGCTAAAGATACTGTTCCTTCATTCTTTCCTGAGATCTGGTGGCAGGGAGGAGGAGAAAGGAGGACCTAGATGGCACAGGGGCACAGTAGTGACAAGAAGGGCCAGTACCCAGGAGTGCCTTATTTATGCCAATATGGAAAAAACAACAACCCAAAGCAACAACAACAAAAAAAATCTCTCCAAAAACCCAAATTGTTCTCAGTTACACCCGTGTCTAAGAAATAGAGTTTCCCTGGGGTTGATTGCAATCCCTTTTCCATCTTGTCCCTGGCTGAAGTAGTGTTGGGTCCAGGGGTCAGACAATGATCGGGGGATAGTCCACCAAAGCCTATTAAACCAGAAGCAAACTTTACTCTAGAAAAGGAAGAAAAAAGCCTCCATGGGGCATGTAAAGTTTATTAGCTATAACGTGACCACAGCCAGAGATCGGACATCTGTAGCTATTTCAACGGTGCTTTCTGAACTCCCTCTTTTACTTTACAGCAAGAAGCAAGCATTAGGCATGAAC